AATGTCCTCTTTGACACTTCCTATTACTTGCACTATGTCAGGCCTCCAAGGTTCAGTCCTTGCCACTATTCTGTGCTACTCTCTAGAAGGACTCCTCCATTCTAACAATCAGCTCCACACTAATTGTTCCCATATCTTTATCTCCATAACTCTACCTTTCCTTGGTCCTTAGTTCTTTGAGAGGTCCCATCATCACCTGTAACTCAACACCAGCTACGACTCAATAATGCACCACATTCTCTGCCAAACTAACATAAATAAATTTTTGATGGTATTTCTGATTATTTTCCCAACTTTCTTATTTCTGACAATGGGACAACAATTCTGCAGGCCTGAACACTCAACAACTTGTCTTTAAGACTGTCCTTACTCAATGTCTCCAAACTCACACCAATAATTTCTTCAAGACCCAGATATATTCCTTTGTCATTTCCATCATTACGTCATGTATCGATTACTGTAACATCTTCATAGGTAGCAGCAATTCAACTTGTACACAGTTGTCTTGTTAATTTTCCAGAAATGTTTTTTATTACTTTTCCTGCTTATTGTTTAAATTCATCTGCATCAAACTCCTTCAAAGGCCACATTTTATCTCCTATTACCTCCTGATCAAAATCCAAGGTAATCTTTCCTCCCTCACAGTCTTCAGACTCATTACCACCCCCACCCGTGCTCATGTTACTCTCACACCCCTTTTGTTTCAACCCTCCAGTTGATAATCCTAACCTAAAGCATTATCTGATTCTCAAAGTCAGTGGTGTCCTGGCTCTTGGGATGGGGCAGATGGGCAGATGCCCTGCTTTGTATTATTTGCCAATAAACCTCACCATAGCAAATTTTAAGCTACCAATGTAATGTCACTGAATGTGAAATTAGGAAAAAATGTGCACAAGGCCAGTAGGAACTGGCTCCGGGACACCACAGCAGCACTTATAACCTGTTCTGTAATCTATAACTTTACATATACTATTTTGTATAGGTTCTCTACGTGTATTATATAGGTTTGTTTGTTCATTGCAATATAGTGGCCCTAGGAAGTGGGGCAATCCATTCATCTTAGAGCTTTCATGGGGTACAGGGTGCCCACTGTGTGCTCAATAAGCAGGTAAGGCCTGGAGAGGGGTGATAAGCAAAGCCAAAGACAGGGATAGTTAAAATGGGCATGTTCTCATTTAGGGTTGGTTAGCAAGAACAAACAAAAAGAACAATGAAGGAGCAGAATGTAGTGGAAATAAAATCAGAATGGGAGCCAAGAGGATACTGGTTATGTCCCAGTTTCCCGTGTGATCTTTAGCAAATAAATTCCCTTCTTGGCCCTTAAGTTTCCTCATCTGTAGAAACTAGAAACTAGGGGACTGGATTACCTAACTTCTAAGATATCTCTAGACTCTAATGCTCTGAGATATAGGTTAAATTGACAAGGAGACAACCTATAGTCCAGTGGTCCCCAACCTTTTTGGCACCAGGGGCCAGTTTCATGGAAGACAATTTTTCCAAGGACCCAGGGTAGGGGTAATGAATTTAGGATGATTCAAGTGCATTACATTTATTGCGCAGTCAAATCTCTCTGCTAATGATAATCTGTATTTATAGCTGCTCCCCAGTGCTAGCATCACCACCTCAGATCATCAGGCATTAGATTCTCATAAGGAGCACACAAGCCAGATCACTTGCATGCACAGTTTACAGTAGGGTTTGCACTCCTATGGGAATCTAATGCTGCTGCCAATCTAACAGAAGGCAAAGCTCAGGCGGTGATGTGAGTGACGGGGAGTGGGTGTAAATATAGATGAAGCTTCGCTTGCTTGCTCACTGTTCACCTCCTGCTGTATGGCCTGGTTCCTAAACAGGCCACAGATTGGTACTGGTCTGTGGCCCAGGGGGTTGGGGACCACAGCCATAGTCCATTGCATTGGTTAAAAATAATGATAATAAATGTATTTTAATATCTGACTAGTCACTAGAGTTTCGGGCAGCAAAACTGTTCTGAAGATGTGAAGAAACCTTCTTGTAAGGCCATTCCATTCCTTTGATCTAATAATCATTCTGTGGAAAGATACAACATTCTGAAAGTTATATCTATTTTATTCTACTTTCAGGAGAAAAGAGGCATGAAAACCCACCTAATATCTGCAGCATGTTCCAAAATATTTCCTAATGTCCCTCATTCAAAAAATATGTATTGCCTGTCTACTATGAGCTGGACACTGATAAATGGTGAGGATTTAGTAAAAAAAAAAAAAAAAAAAAGCAGATCCAGTCTTTACTCTCACGGAACCCACAACAGCGTGGATCAGCAGCCATTTCATTCCTAGTCATCTGTATTGGTGCCTTTTTTTTTTTTTGAGACAAAGTCTGGCTCTGTCTCCCAGGCTAGAGTGCCGTGGCGTCAGCCTAGCTCACAGCAACCTCAAACTCCCAGGCTCAAGGTATCCTTCTGCCTCAGCCTCCCGAGTAGCTGGGACTACAGGCATGCGCCACCATGCCCAGCTAATTTTTTATATATTTATTTTTAGTAGAGACAGGGTCTCGCTCTTGCTCAGGCTGGTCTCAAACTCTTGAGCTGAAACGATCCGCTCGCCTCGGCCTCCCAGAGTGCTAGGATTACGGGCATGGTGGCAGCCTGTATCAGTGCTTTTTAACTTAAACAGCATGAACTCCTCTGAGCAGCAAGCAATGGACCCTCTCAGAAACAGGTATATAATAACAAAAATTAGAGTATAACTTGAGAGGTTCACAGGACTTCTCAAATGTGGAGGTGTACGACTATCATAAGTTAACAACGTTGACCTGTTACCTACAAAACAATGAACAAATTCAAGCTCATAAAAGCCTATATTCTGTTTGCTATGTTGTATTTGCTAAGGGAGTATAGGAAAGATTTCCAAAAGAAACTAAAAGTAAAGTTCTATCATTCAAATAATATTCTGGGTAAGTAAGGTATGTCTAGATTATGTTTCTATTTCATCTATATAATTCCTTTGGTTAAGGCTGCTTATTGGTTGTCTTTCTTGAAAAACCATTTGCACATAAACGTGTACTTCCATTTCACAAATAAATCTGCATTTCATGACTCTTCCATTTCACATTAATGAAACCTAATTAGTCATGACAAATTCATATACACACATATCCTGAATAAACAGCTTGAACAATATCAAAGAGCACAAATTCTAAAATTAGAAGGCACCAACTCCTCTTCTGGCTCTAACATTTTCTGGCAAAGTGATCTTGGACAAATCATTTAACTCTCTGACCTATGTTTCTTCATTTATAAAGTGGAGATGGAATAAACTTACCTGAGAGGGCTGCTATGAGAAATCAATCACATAAAATAATGTATATGAAAGTGTTTAGCTGTAAGATGGGCAAAAGTGGGTGAAAGACACAGCAGATTGTTTGGAGTTGCTCACAAAATATCAGATTCACAGATCATTTATTTAGATAGAGTTGCTCATGTAACACCCTTAGTGTACTATTAAAATTTTTCTATCTGAAATAAATTGTTCTTAAATTGCTCAAGGAATTGTCTTGGTTAACTGCCCAATAGTGAAGTTCTTAGACATGAGAAGATGTGTTACTTACAACACAGTCTTAGGTGCAGATGTTAAAGTCCCTTTCACACGGTAAATTTTAACTTTTTCACAGAGCAATGATTCTTTCACTCGCCTTGTTGAAAAGGTTTATAATAGTTAACAGGATGTACATAAAAGATTTTAGGTGAATTAGTTTGATAAACTGACAAAATCAATGAAATCAATATTATCAGGGCTTTTCTTTTTCGGTGGAGCAGATGTTTGCTTTTATGGAAGTAAATAATACTCTTCGGTTTGAAATACATTTTCCAGTTCATTCTCCACTGGAACACACGATAAGCCAAGGAAGGGATAACTTTTTTTTTTGGTTATGTATCCAACCTGTGAAACTATCTAACATTGTTTTTTTTGTTTTGTTTTGTTTTTGGCATTACTTCACTTACATTTACAATGTACATTTATGTTATTTCAAAACCAACCTTGGGGCTATTCTTCCTTTAAAAAGTGAATGAAACAACTTTAATGATTTGGTACCATGGAACAAAAGATCATTACACCTTATCAAATCTCAAGAAGCTGACCACACCTTTATCAAATCTCATGAAGGTGACCGAAAGAGTGAACTGCCTTGGTACCTAGAAAAAAGTCAACATGGAAAAAAAAAAAAAAATCTTTCTTAAGAATGGGCAAAAAGAGAAAAAGAAAAAAGTCAAGGTGCCAGCACTCTGATTTCTCAACCCCTACTAAGCCAAGGCTCTGCTAGTTTCCCCAAGAAGGCAAATTAAGCTCTCATTACCTGACTTCAAAATACCTATTACATAAATGTCAACTACCAAAACAAATTGCAGATCCTGCAATTACATAACACTTTCCTTCAAGAAATTCAAAGCACTTAATTGCAGAATTGTTTAAAAGTAATGTATCCCCCATTTTAAGAAAACAATTATTCCTTAAGACCTTAAACCCCTTGCCTAATCAGACACTTAATGGGTGGGAAACCCCAGACTGAAGGATTTCTGAGAGCAGGGATAAATTCTTGAGATGAAGGGGAAAGGGGAAAGGGGAAAGAGGGGAGACTCACGTAGAGCAACGCACGGGGGAGGTTAGAGTGGAAGGTGATGGGCAGTAGGGAGTTCCAGGAATGGCAGGTGCATTAAAGACTGAGCTCAGGGGAAGCTGGGGACAGGGACAGAGGGAAGGGAGGGAGCAAAGGCCCGTTAAGTTGGTGGGAGCTGGGTGGATGGAGAACCAGCTGCGAAGGTTGACTCCAGGCCTGCCCCTAGTGTCTGCTCAGTCCTTGTTCTCGCCCATTATTGCCCCTAAGGGGTAGGATTCCGAGCAACCTGAGAGGGGTGCGTCGTGGAGCAGAGCAACTCCCGGGCCTGGGAAGGCCGCAGGATTCCCCCATCCCCAGCGGCCAGGCGGGCTTCCTTCCCTCCCTCGGCGCGTGCTAAGTCTCACCTGCCGCCAGGCGCAGGCCGCGGAGGCTCCCCATGGCCGCCTACTCCGCCGACCAGCACAGAACCGCGCCAGGCCGCGGTGGCGCTGGTGCGCACAATGTCACCGAGCGCTGGAGTGGGAAGGGCATGGCCGTGCTGGGGGCGGGGCGTGCACGGCGCGGGGGAGGACCCGCGTCACGTGCAGGCGTGCGGGACGTGCGAGACGCGCGGAGGACGCGGGCGGTACCGCGCCTCGCCCCTTGGGCCCCGCGCCGGGGCGGAGCTGTGGGAAAGGCCCTTTGCAGGGTGGGGGCCGTGCGCCTTCGCCTTATTACTCCCTGGTGCCGGAGTACCCGTTTAAAATAGAAGAAAAGATGCAGAACTTTTGTGAGCTGTGCGCTCCCCAAATACACTAGATAAGTCAGTATTTCAGTATACTGTTCCTCCAGTGCTTTCAATGAATATTCTTTTATCAAAAACACTTAATTGGTCTTACAGCGCCCAGGGGCCCTATTTCTTGTTGGCTTTTGAGCATCCCTGAACCTTAAGCATAGAAAACAACGTGTATGTTTTCCATTTTGCTTTCTATTTATTTTCTAAAAATATTTTATTTCCACCTCTAAATACCTTACTCCACCCATAACCACCCATCCACACTGCCAGAAATGCCCTTTTTATCTTGACATTTCTTAGTGGTCCCAAATTCTTAATGAACAAGACCTCTTTGCTCTCTATGGTCGGAGGTGGGGGGTGGGGTGGGTAGACATTGGAGTGCGAGGGGTTAGAAAGGCCTCCTTTCCCTAGATTTCTTCCTCGAACGACCCGGTTGGTGTGTCCAGAAAATTGTTTCCCTTTTGTAGGAAGATAGGATTGGAGTTAATGATCCCTTCAAGTTCTGACAATTTTTGATCCATGCATGTGGGCCACTTCCAGGAGGGTATGTTAAAGGGGTTAGAGTGAAAAGCAGGACAGCAGGGTGACGGCTTCGATGTGGATGGGGATCACGGAGAAGTGAAGCCTTGCACTCAGCTGTCTTTACAGAGTCCCCTCGTACCGGTTTTTGTCAGGCGGCGCCGCAGACACCTTCGCTCCGCGGTGATTGGCCTGCAGCAGGGTCCTCGCGTTTGTCCAATATGGCGGCGCCCAGTGGCGGTGTGAACTGTGAGGAGTTCGCCGAGTTCCAGGTGATGAGGTTTTCCTCATGTGGCAGGCGTGTCCCTCCTTTTGTCCCCAGACCCTATTCCCTGCTCTGAGAGGGAGTATGGACCAGTGATGGGAAAAGCGGGCAGTTCAGGGCTTTATTTTTAAGCCATTGGAGGTCATGGGGGGCGCTGGTTTGGCCTTAGAGAGGGAGGCTGCTCCGGAGAGGGAGGGAGAAGGGGGTCATAGTTCTTTCTGCGCCGCGCAGGCCTTGACTGGAAAAGTCTGGGTGGTTTCTCGGGGATAAAGCCGAGCTCTGGCTCTGAGGGTAAGGATTGCAACGATTTTGTAGTAGTCTACTGAACTCAGTTTCCAGCCTCTGCCATGCCTCTGCTACTTTTAAGTTGAGCTTTTGTGGGAGAGAAGAAAGTGAAGGAGAGCTTATTTACTTGATAAAGCAAACACGTGGTACAATTTATTATTTTTGTGGGCAAGGAGTTTGGAAGATTGGAGGGGGAATTAATTCTAGTATCTGATTCTATCTAGTTACAGAACTGAATTAAAAAATCATGATCTTAAAAATGTATTGCATTTTTAACTAAAGTTATTGAAAAATCGTTTCATGTGTCATTGACCTATGTTTAGTAAGCTTTGTGCTATGAACGGTTTGTAAGTAGTGATGTTCTTTAGAAGGTAATCTAAACAGACTGAATTATTTGACAAATAGCATTTGGCCAAAAAAGTTTATGTGGGGTCTTTCCACCATTGTTTGCATCGTCTTCACCACTTCATTTGCTCTTCTACTAGATCAGAACAACAGCAACCAACCTCTTATGCTATCAGAGTGCCCAATAAATAAATAAAAATACTTGTAAAAATTTTTAAAAGGATAGAAAAAGACTGTTGGATTCCAAATTATATGGAGTATTTAAGGTTAATGCACCCATTTGTGGCCTTGGCCTTGTCACTTTAGTACTATGACATAACTTGAGTTAATGAGCTCATAATCGAGCAATGGTAGTCTTAAGGTCAATGGGAAAGAGTACTGGTTAGGAAATTAGATATTCTGGGTTTAGGACTGTGTCCGCCATTAACGTCTTTGTGACCTTGAGCTAATCAATTAACTCCTTTGAGAATTAACTTGAATCTGTAAAAAAGATTGTGTTAAGTAACATTTAAAGCTGTTTCCATGTCTATAGTTATTTGAATCTCTGAAATTAAATGTCAAAGGATCTCTTTGAGCTGTTAAAACATCGAAGAGTGCTTAAAGAACTTTTTGATTTTTCTTTTACATGGTCAGATAAAATGTAAGTGGGTCAAAAGCTAAACAAACTGTCTTGCCTAACCATTCCATTCACAGAGATAACATATATCAAAAGATCATAAAATGAGTCTTAGTCGGAAGGTCTGGTTTTACAGATCAGGCCTTGGCACAACATTTAACCTCTTTGTAAATGGGCATACTACCTTAGGCACACAAAAACATAAATGAAGGTGTTATAAAAATGTAAAATTTTACTATAACATTTAGGTTTAGATGAGTTTGGTAAAATTATAAAACATGATTGATTGGCATTCTCATAAATTATTGATCAAAGATTATATATTTTTAAAGCTATTAAACCATTACGTTTTGTGTATAAGGATCCTAAATGTGGAAAGCCCTGCACTGAATACTGTGGAAGAGAAACAAAAAGCTATGTATTTTTTACTTTAAAGATTAGGTGTACAATTTTCAGAATTTTATTTTAAAAATGTTCAAACACTACAGAAAATTTGAAAGAATTGTGCAGTGAACACTCATGTACCAACCATCTGGATTCTGTAATCAATGATTTGTTATGTTTATCACATATCCATCTATCCATCTCTCTATCCATCAACTCACCTTTTTATTTTATTTATTTTTTTGATGCATTTCAGAGTAAGTTGCAAACATCGATATATTTCACTCCCAAACATGTCAGCATGCATATCATTAACTAGAGTTCAATATTTTGCCATTATTTACAGTAAAATTTGCATACAGTGATGTGCACAAATCTTTAAGAGTGCCATTCAATGAATGAGTTTGATGTTTACATACACCTGCAATGCAAACCTCCATAAACATAGAGAATAATACTGTCAAAAGTTTCCTCATGTCCCTTCCTAGCCAATCCTTGCCACTATCCTCCTTTCCTCCCTCCCCCCAACTGCTGCTCTGATTTTTTTTCCATACAGGTGTATATTTTAAAGTTTAAGGATAAAGTGTTTTAAATTTTTGCAGTTTTTCTTTTACCATTGTAAAAATTAGATTTAACACTCCTGGAAAATATCCTGTTTCCAAATTGAAATAAAATTCAGAAATGAATGTTTAAAATTGACTGCCTGGAATCCCATTATAGCATTGATTCAACGGAAATATATTGGAGACTATAATAGTCTGGTAATGATGCCATAACAAAATATCACAGACAGGTGGCTTAAACAATAGAAAGTTATTTTTTTACAGTTCTGGGGTCTAGAAGTCTAAGATCAAGGTGCCTTCAGGATTGGTTTCTGGTGAAGCTTCTCTTCCTGGCTTGCAGATGGCTGCCTTCTGGGAAAGGGATCTCTAGTATCTTCTCTTCTTATAGGGACACTAGTTCTACTAAATTAGGGCTCCACTCTTATGACCTCCATTTAACCTTTATTACATCCCTGAAGACCCTATCCCCAGATACAGTCAGGCGAGCGATTAAATCTTCAAAATGAATTTTTTTTGGAGGGGGTACTATTCAGTTCATAACAGTAGCTATCAGGCACTTAGAGAGATCCAGTGGACAGGGTATAAAACAATGAACTTAATTTAAGTAGGGATATAAAACATGGAGAAGATATTGAAAAAAATGAATAAAATGCTATGAGAGTTTAGAGAGAAATAAGTCAAGAGACGGTAATTGAGTTGGGCCTTAGGTAGACAGAAACCAGGGTACTTTTAGGCAGATGCAGTAGTATATAGGCAAAAATTTTACGTATTTGGGGATAATAGAAAATAAGTGTTGCTGGAATACAGTGTTAGTACAGGGGCACATTGGGATTACACAAAAATTTGGAACCAGACAGTGGAAGGCCTTGCATGCAAGTGTGAGGTTAGGGAGTCATTTTTGAACAGAGTGGGTGAGATGATCATAGAGGTGGTTTAGGAAGATTCATTACTACTGCCACTGGCTTTGTTTAGGCCCTGTTATTTTTGCAACTAGCTGTCCAACAGGTCTCCCTGTCTAGGCATTCCTTTTGCTAATATATCCCCCCTTCAATCTAAACTCCATAATACCGTGACGTATAATATTATCTTCTGAGTTTTAGAATCCAAATCATGCTTCTAGTTTTTAGGCTCACGTGATTAAGTCTAAACTACTTAACGTGGCCTTTTAAAATAGTATCTCAAAGTGTGTCTCCCTAATCATATCTCTTACCACTGCTCTTACACATTTTTCTTTCTTCCCACTCACCTACCACCACCTCCAGAATGCATTTGAACTCTACTCTCTAGTCACATAGGCCTACTTGCTTTTTTCCTGAACATATCATGCGCTTTGTCATTTCTGTGTTTTTTTAAACCGATTGCCACTCTGAAATCCCTTCCTCCTTACTATGCCTGAGATCCAGTTCATATATCGCCTGGACAAAATCAGCTAGGTATTCCTTCCCAGAATGTTTGAAGTCTTTATATTTCTATTAGGAATATTTATTTATACATAATTGATTTTTATTCATATTTTAATTAGGCACAGATTTAGTAGATTATTTTCTAGCATCAACCCTGGTTCCTTTTGCTCTCTTTTCCTGTCCCCTGGGGGTTCAGGGTGTCAGAGGATTCTGGCAGTTACAGATAAGTTTGTGTTTCTTGCTTGGGGGAAGCACTGTGAGCCTTGCTGTAAAAATAGGGTTTGAGGGACCAGGTCTGCCTGAAAAAAGCATCATGCTAATGGGGTCTATTTCTGGGTACCTTCAGGCAGAGGGGGAGGAGAGAA